ATGTAGTGCGTCTGTTCTCACTGTCTCCATTGCTTTAACAAATCCCTTCTCTTATTGTAGGTTTTATGTCATTAGTCAAGTGAAAGGTAGCAGCAGCCTGATCGAAATACTTCAGAGTTAATCTTACTGAAGGCTTCATATATATGTATATATATGTATAGTCCCTGCTGTATATAGTGATTGAAATGTTAGGGTGCAGTTGGTTATTGTTGCTGCTTGTGTAACAAGTGATCCCTTGTAGGAAACCAGGAAACAATGGTAAACAAACCATGGCAAACTGCTAATGTTGCTAATGCTACATCTACATTATGACATTTTGTGAACATTGAGGCTCTATCTAAATCTTCTGGGGCTCAAAAATGTTATCCAAGGATGTGAATTTTTTAGACATTGGAGATTTTCCAATAAAACCTCAAGAAATAAAACCTGGAAGAAATATTCTAAAACATAATTTGACAAAGAGTAAGAAGTGTAGATGTCCTCACTGTTAAATATGACTGTCTATAGTAGATATATTATCCTTAAAATATCTTTTAATCATCTTAGATATATGACACTTCAAAAAATTGGGCTAATAAAAATGCCTCATAAGAGATAAAGTATATTTAGTAAGCATCAATAGAAAGGTATAACTGCAAAGAAATTGCATCTATATCTTCTTAATGGAATAGACAATTGTCTGGCATTTTGGATACTTAAACATGTTATCTTATGCTGCATCTTCATACAAATTCAGTAAGATCAGATGAAATAATCTGAGGTAATCTTGGTAAAGAATGTTGAATGTAGATCTGCATCTTACAGATGAGAGACGAGATAAATCCAGAAAAGGCATGACGCTTCAGTGTCAACTTTCTAGTTATATAAAAAGCTCTTTATGAGACTAATTAAATTGCTGATGTGCGAGTCATGACAAAAGAAAATGGGATAGCTGATCAAACCTTTTACTTAAATTGTAACTGGCCGAGTTTAAAAAACTCAAATAGACCAGGGTTTAAAATATATATGTAAAAAAAATAGGCCCCAAAACAGTCCCCAGTCTTTCCTCACACACCGTCATTTTTTTTAACCACTTCAGCAAACCTCCCTGTTTTCTCCCACAATATGGAAGCTCGAAATGGAGACTGAAAAGTTGGGTGAGCAAAGGGTAACCTTAACAGCAAGTCTGTTGGAAAAAAAATGAGGTGAAGAGGAAAAAGACAGATTTAGGAAGAAAAAGGGGATAAAATAGTGGCCCATGGTGCAGATAAACGATGGGCAACGCCGGGCGAGTGGTAAAGCAGCAGAGGAGGACAGTGATGAAGTAGTGGTGTGGTAAAGGAGAAAGAAAAAGTGGAGTAATAATAGATGAAGACAATAGAAGTGCATTAGAGCTAGAGGTGGCTTTTGAGCTTCTGTTGAACAAGGGTTTACGTTTGGGGCACATCTAAATATCGTTGTATTTGTTTTTATGCTTAGTGATCTAGAGTCATTATTCTGTCAATAGAAAAGCAAATATTTCGTGTGTATAATAATTTGGTCTGACAAAGTCGGTGAGGTACAGAACAAGCAGCTATCCGGATGATTAAGGAGATACCTCTAGTTTACTCCACTTACGTCTAAAGCGTGCCAGAAAATCATGTTGTCACCCTTTCAACCCCTCTTCAGATTTCCTCCGTGGCCTTCTTCACAAGAGTCCGGAAACCCCTCCTGGCACACACACACACCCACCCACGTGCTCCAATGTGGCCTCCAGAGAAGCCTGTCACTGTGAGTGGCCTTCTGGCACAGGAGGATAAACTACCTGTCACGCCTGTGACTTGCTGTGGAATTCATATCAGAGGCAAAACAAAGGAGGTGCTGAGGTCACGGGGCATCACTCTTACATTATTCATCATCTGCTTCCTCCTTCCGTCTCTTCTCGGCCTGTCGCCTACTTTGTTCTGCCAGATCACAACAAGGGCAACTGTCGGTGTCCTCCGTGGCTCCCGGTTTTTAGGAAGCAAAGTAAATAAGCAGTATACTAAAGCCCCCATCGGAAAAAAGTGATCGCTTTGGTAGAGTGTGTTGAGTTCAGGTTAATCATGTGACCAAATTCTGGGAAAGGAGCACGTCTTCAATTCTGAATGTCATAGCATCATAAAAATTTTAAAATATTCTTTTCCTCCCACTCGTGGTTCAGTCTCCCTGAGTGCATAATTTATCAGCATCTTGGCAGCTGCTTGTTTGCATACACTGTGCAGGACGTCGGATGGTCTGGTGATTCAGGGGCAACTGATTTGTGACCATAGACAGAGAAGAATACACAGGAGTTTGGCTCTGAGGGTTTTAGGTAAAGCTGGGTAATTCTGAGGTCTTTTGGGAAATTTAGCACCAAAGAGCATACTTGTTTGCTTTACAATAAATACTAAATGTTAAAATTGTTGCTAGACTAGGATTTTAGTCTTTATATACAGGAGAGCAAGAAGGTCTTACATAATACTCCCATCAGATTTAAAATGAAAATGATGTGCATTCAACCAAGATTTTTCTTTTCTACGAAATTGCAGAAAATATAGCAGTGTAAAAGGAGTGTTGTTTTTTTTGTGTGTGTTTTTAAATAAGAGCACCTGGAAAGCTCAGACCTCCACCAAAAATCAAATTTTGCCCCATATGTTAACTTACACCTTTAGCTTAAACTCGCATATGATCTGGATCATTACCAAATTGTGATGAATTGTCCCTTAACATGAGTCACACCCATGGTAAAAAAAATTTACTTAAAATTCAACCATAAGCTAGACACGGTGTGTCCGCAGCCTCTGGTGTCTCTTCTGTTCTTCTTCATTCACTCTGCTCGCTGACCAGAAGATAGACTTCGAGCAAGACACGACTCCCTTTTTTTTGTGTTTTTGTGCGTAGTGTTATACTTCCAGACACTTTTCAGTCCCATGCTGAAGCTCTCAAAAGTCACTGCTACCACCCTCTGGTTTATGCGGGAACCTCTTTACGCAGGCAAATATTCCTAAAGCACAATGTTAAAGAATCATTAAAAAGATTCCTGTATACGGTCTATGATCTGGATCACCACCAACATTTTATGGATTGTTCCTTGGCATGATGCTCACCTCTGGTAAAAATGTATTTAATATCCATATGTAACATTTCAAGTGTTCTTGCCAACAAACAAAAATGGCAAAAAAGATAACCTGCTTGGCTGAGGAAAAAATTTGTATAACATGGTTTAGACACCATGCACAAATCGATAAAATAATTGAGCAATAAATATCATTTTTTTTTTTTTTTTTTATCTTTGGTAAAAAGGTCAGCCTAAGACTACTCTAGGCAATCATTACCCTAGTCCTTAAACCTGTCAAGAGATTTACTCCAATAGCTAAGCAGGGTCCTTCCTGGATTATCTTTAAAAAGTTATATATACTTTCTATCCAGTATCCAAGTGTATTAAGTTTCCTCAAGGTATAAATGAGTTATCTTGTTGAACAAGAGCAAGGGTAATGTATTTACTCCTGAAACAATAAAAGTACAAATAAATCAAAATCATCATCAATAAATTTTTTTTTTCATTCTAGGGAGTGAAACTCATAGAAACTAAAAAATGTGTTATGAAGTTGTAAACACTTTATTTCTCATAATTTTGATTAATCCAAGTTCAAATTCAGTGTCTCAGAAAGTTACAGTATTATGAAAATATTCATGGCATATTCATAGACAGTTAAGTAGAAACAAAATTTATTTTAGAAAGGGTGCACCGGCTACAGGGATAACCACAGCACTGTTGCACAGTTATACCAGCAGATTTGGAATCTGTTAATACAGTAAATAGAACTAGAAGCTATAGTTAATTAATATGTCATTCAAATAGTGGGTAAAACCAATTAATTATTTTAATTAATTAAATGATTATAACTGATAATTAGATCACTTACCAGGTGCTATAAAGGGTTACCTTACCTTACCTTTGTGGCTGGACGTTAGACTTAGACAGATTTATTTTGTCATTTTGTATACACAAGAAAAATAAATTTCATTAAGAACAGCTCTGTAGACAATTTCATTTTTTAAAGTGCAGCCTTGATAAGGTAAGCAGCAGTGATAAAAAAATAAACAAAAAACATTGCAATGAAAAACAGTAATGTAAACATATGACGTTGTGGACCGGAATCAGTGTGTTCTCATTATCAGTTCATATGAAATCGTACGAAAAGTTATGCACAGTAATTTTGTAAGTTTTTGACGTTTTTTTCGTCGTATTTCGTCGTATTTTTACGTCCTGCCTCGAGACAAGATACCATCTTACGCACCATTCAATAACATAGAATTTAACATACAATTAACCTAACCTGACCCTAAGATACAAAACAGCAAGCAACCTAGTTAGAGACATCAAGAAGTAATTATTGCACTGTTTTTCCCAGTTTTACGTCCGTCCGCAGATCTGCTTTTTTCGTCTGTCTGGCTGCGCATGCGCACTGATCTGTTTTTTCGAGGAAAAACTTACGAAATACTGTGCATAACTTTTCGTAAGATTTCATACGAACTGATAATGAGAATCCGGAATCCATGTTGTCCCTATCATCAAAAAAATGTCAGTAACTTGGCTTTAAATTCAAGCAGAGTTATTATCATTATCCACAAGGAAAATATTTATCTGTCTATTCAAGTTATTAACTCTAAAGGAAGTAGGCTCAGCTTTTAGAGACTTTCAGTCACTGCCGTATAAATAATCATAGACAACAATTAAAATAATTGTACTTTTATTAAACCTGATATTTCCTGTTGCAGTATATTTTTTTAATGAGCCAAATGTATTTTTGTAAGTAGAATGTTTTCATTTTAGTTCTTCACTTGCAATTCCTAGTTTTCAAACATACTTTGATCACTTTCCAAAGAGAATATGGAAGATACCATGATGGATCGGTTTTACAGAACAACAAAGATAATCTCACACCTATTCTTCTACATTTATATCGGTAACTGTCCGGTAACACCGTTCCCTTTTTTTTTTCTTCCCCCAATTACAGAAACAGCTGTCTGCTCTGGGTTTGACCGACGCCTTGGACCAGAAGGTAGCTGACTTCTCTGGGGTGTCCGACAAGGGCAAAGGGAAGCTTCACCTTGGTGGCATCCTCCACTGGGCTTCCTTGGAGCTGGGTCCCAAGGCTGGAAAAGAGGAAGCAAACCTCGAAGATGAGAAGATAGAGAAACCCAAGCTGTTCTACGCCGACCATCCGTTTATCATCTTTGTCAGAGACAACACCACTGGAGCCCTGCTGCTGATGGGCGCTCTAGACCACGCCGAAGGAGAGCTCTTACATGATGAATTATAGCGTTTCTTCTCACTTCCTGTCTTTTTTCATTTTTTCCAAGTCCCTCTCCCAGACAGCTTGCTAGTCTCTGAGTGCAGACATTGTCATTTACTGTGGCACTCTTTCACATCACACTGTCATACGCTGACACCACCATAGTCTTCTGGCTGAGTGACACTGACACCCTCATATTGGACATTTACAGTGTCAGACCCAGAGCTACACCTACACTGCATGTATAAATGATAACTCTGTACAAGACATTACTGAAGTCGACGGATACAACATAAATCTTCCAACTCAGAGGAAATTAAAGGCTTTTCCTTCCACTAAAAGAAACTTTTAGAGACTCATCAAATCATCAAAAATGACAAACAAGGCTGTTGTGGCAAAGATCCACCATCTTGACATGCAGAGGAGTGGTTACAGACATGATTCTTTCGACCAATACAACACCAAGACAGTAGCAATGTTGTCACTCTCTCCTGATGTCCTCTGAGGGTCATCACTGGAAGAATGATGGCTTCCTCTACTGTTTATTGTTGAGTCAGCTTAATGTTAAGGATTGTATTGCATTACAGCTCGTCAACAAAACATGAAGAGAAAGGCCAAACATTTTAATCTCCTAAAGCCATCACAGATCCTTGATGCCATTACATCACTGGAAACAAACTTGAAGGACATCACCTGATTTACATGTAAAAGCCTACATTTTTATGTTTTCCAGAAGTAAATGTGTTATTGATTGTTACATTTTTTTTAAATCTAAAATCAATAATCCTGTTGTTGTTTTATTCTGTTAGGTTGTTAAAAACATCTTATTGACTTTGTACTCAGAAGTAAGACTCCTTTGTTTCAATTTGGGGAAAAAATACAATTGTCTATGATGTTGGAATTTGAAAGTTGAAAGCTACTGATCCACTCTGAATTCACTTTTCAGGGTGCCTTGGATGCATAAGAAACATGGCTTCAGTTGCAGAAATATATCTGCAATTCTGACAGGTTTTAATATATTGACACATCAATCGGAATTTTGGATTGGTTTGACACCTTTTGTAAACTTAGACCTATTTATATCTATTCTAGCCAGTTCTGGCTTCTCTCTCAGTAGCATTATTTAAGAAAGAAAAGCATTTTTATTTTTAGTCTCCCTGCTGTGAGTGCTTTTTTATTATTTATATTTGGAACAGATGCAACATCATGCGCTGTGTAAGTGAACAGTTGCTATAGACCAGTCCTTTTTTATTATTTTACACCAAAAGAGAAGCAACATTGAGATTTAAAATTGTCCAAACATACTTTATATTTAAGCAAAAAAAAAATTCAGCTAGCATTACTGGAACCATTGTCTCCGTTTTACTTTCTGGATCCTTCAAATCCTCCAACTTAAATTTCTTCCATGATAGATAAAGGCTAAAAATTAAAAAAATAGATAAAAGCGAATATCAAGCCTTCCTGTTATCAGCATATGTCTTTCTATTAAGGCCTACATGAACCACAGACATGTACCAATATGTTCTTCCCTACCTGCTATTTATACAAAGCCTGCTTAGCCATGCCACAGAAAGAACTCCACAGTAATTATGCAACTACTCGGTCAATTAGTTTTTACAGCATCCATATGGCAGGCACCACAAACCCCTGAAATTAGACCAAAGTTTATTTTTGCTGGAATCTGCAGCAAGTTTTGAGACAAAGATGGTTATTTTCAGAATAATTTAATTAAGAAAGAATGGATTTCACAAAGGCTTCATTCAATTAAGAAATACTATGTAGAATAAAACTGAAAATATTGGATACAAAAAAGTGCAAAACACATTTCAGGTCTGTTACCTACAGAATTAATTATTTTGGTTTCCATTTTAGATTTATCACAGGTGGATTTTATCCTACAGTCTTGCATTTCCTGCACATGATTCATGGTAGGGATACTCCATGGATTGGCAATAATATAAGTGTCTGCCAATATTCGTAACTTTTAAGAATATTGGTAATCGTTTTGGGTCGACATTAAAAACAGATATTTGTTTTCCATGTAGTTATTGTTTTGGTTTTTTTTAAGAAGGGGTGGGTCTTTTTTGATGATATGACAGAATAAGGGATGCAGCTCAGGGTTGTAGACGTTCCCAGAAGTAGAGAGGCAATATCAGCACTAGGGATGGAACGGTTCACAAAATCCACGGTTCGGTCCGGTTCACGGTTTCGTGGTCACGGTTTTCGGTTCCATATATGTTGATTGTTAGGAAAATCTATTATGTCTTGTATAGTACAACATGCATTGCACAATGCTTGCAGACTGTTGCACTTTTATCCACAACTTTCTTTCCGTGGTCATTGCAGGTCACTCTAAATGCAAAATGCTGCTAGCGTGTCTTCCAACTCCTGTTCCTTACCACTCGCCATACCCACACAGTTCTCCACAACAACAGATTTTTTTCTGCTACACCCGGCGACGCTGCTTCCCTTCTTCTTCTGGTTTATCTACTGGTGGTTGGCTTTGGTCGCAGTACCGCCACCTTCTGCTCTGGAGTGTATACGCTTCGCCTATTCGAAAAAGGAGCAGCGCATGAACCAATCGCAACACACGCGAACCGAGACAGTCAAACCGAACGGTTCGGACGGTTTTCATAAATTGTTCCATCCCTAATCAGCACTGTGGTTGGTTTTTCATAGTGTCCAAAGGGTCGAAAAATATTTAATACCATTAAATATCAGTTATAATCCATAACTATAGACTTAACTTATATCGATACCGAGATTTTCATATTGGTCTATCTGTACTTCATGGAATATCCCAAGTTTTGTAGGGGAGCAGATTAGGGCACGTCCAGTTTAAATGGTAACTGGAGCAAAAGCAGAGAAAGGGCTTTTCTATATGATAGAAAAGATGAAAAAAAAACAGAAGGACTTTATAAGCAGCAGATACATATTCACTGCATTGCACTTGTAAAACTGGGCTGTTGTAAGCAAGAAAACTAGAGGATCTTCAGTATACACAACCGGACAAAGTTGTGAACATAAAACAGAAAAAAATACATCAGTAAATACTCAGACGTAATAAATAAACTGGTGCTAAAATGCAATTCAGGTCTTTCACGATGGTTGTGAAGCTCAGAGGGTGCACTTAAAGTGTAATCCACAAAACATGCTCTTACTCCTCTGCATGAATATTAACCCTCTGAAATAGTTGGTAATCTTTGTGCATTTTCACTAAAGTCAGCGAGTTCTCTTCGTGGTCAAACACAACAAAAATCTGTTTTCATGTACTTCAGGCTGGTTCTTTCCCCTGACCAGTCTCAATATTGTACCAGCAGCAAGGTAAAATTGGAGAGTCCCGCTCAGCATCTCTATCAGCAGACTGACCCCCAGTTGTGTCACTTCTATGATTCTCCTCTAAAAGCCAAGTGCTGCGCTGTAATAGGGATGACTGTACTCTTAGTGCTCTTCCAGCTGTCTCAGTTCTCTTATTTCCCCAATCACTTGCCCTGACCATGGAGTGAACCCATCACACAGGGCAAGGAATAAGACAGGAAGTTCACATCCATGTTTTTTTGCATCATATTTTATTTAAAAACAGCGATTAAAGATTAAAATATGTCTTTTATTTTTTGTGTGAGATGAACACTGCAGTTAGCTTAGAGACATCACAGGAAAACAATAATGATGCTCATTTACCTTTTTGAAAAAACAAACTTTTAATCACTTTTGGGCTTTTTAAAACCATACAAGAAGAAACATACAAAAATATATATAAAAAACAAAAGGATTCAGTTTTTGAGGGGTTTTTTTTATTGGCAGAGTTGCCTTTTCGGTTGCCTGGAAATCCTGAGCGATGACAATTTTTAAAGTGACAATGTTTAGATAAGTGAAATCCTCAGAGATGTGGGCAAAACACCCAATTTAATTTCCAATAGCTTCATGCTCCTGTGAGATCAAATAAACCCTCTCCATGCTAATTAATGCTGTGTTTGTTGCCACTCAGATCTGGGACTTATGCTCCCACCAGAGTTAAGCATGTCCTAGGCAGAAAACCAGTGGGATTTTATAATTGTTAAGGTGGTTACTGTTAATGGCAAAACAAGCCAATAACATATTTCTGTTAATTACATGAGATTAAATACATAATGATAATGTTAATACAAATCATACATTATGAGTTCCAAATGTTTATTGTTATACAAAAGGTGAAATGTAGGTATCTATAATCATTATCTGCAACCGTCGCCGTGATTTCTATAGGTAGCTGCCTAATGAGACATATGCCTGAAGACATCCAACTTTTCATCCGTATATCAAATTAGTTGTTGATGCTGCATGATAGAAAACATTCAATATGTGATACTATTAGTGAATGTTTTCCCTACAGCTTGTTTAATTTTTTTTTTCTCTTTCAAGCCAGGAGCTTGTAAAAGTCAAGATAGGAACGAGTCGGAGCAAAGATATTAATCTAATTGGTCAAACTAACAGGTAGGTAATCAAGGTATTTGCCTCAAAGAGGAAAGGAAGGATTGATATGGGATCCATGTCTACCTACAATTAGCCAAACATTTTTTCTGCAAATGCTGTCCTGTAAGCGTTATGATCCATTTTCTAACAAATGCTTTACTTTGAAGATGTTATACTGTAACTGAAGTAATATAATAAAAAAATAATAAAAATTTTATTTTTTATTAGGGAAAACAGCACACAAATAAAACTATTAATTTAGTTTAAGCAGCAATAAAATTTAAGCACAGCTGTTTATTACATAATTACTTTGAGAGTTTACATTACTGCGAATAGAAAAAGTGACCAGACGTCCCCAATATCTGAGGACAGACCGAGATTTGGACCACCTGTCCCCAGCTAAAGCTGTTCCCAGAAATGCTCCCAATTTTACAGTTTAATGAATGAGGGGAGAAATCTTGCGTGTAGACTGTTATTACGGTAGAGAGAAAGCGTGAGCATGTTGCTGGAAGAAACAGCTGTTACAGTATCTAGGTGCACTGCTGTTAAAGGAAAGACAAGGAACAGAGTGCATCACTTTTAAAACAGGAGGAGGTAGAAGTTTGTTGTCAGAACCGGTCGCAGCTGATGGGGAGATGCTCTGAGTTATGTTTAGTGTGTTCACTTTATTTGATAACTGTTTTGTCTGTGCCCAGGTGAAAAAACAAAACAAAAAAGGGCTTTAATGGGTTTTATTTTGCTAAAGAAAGTGACCCAAAATGAAACATAAACCATGCTAATGTTAAAAAAAGGAACTTATGTCCCACTGAATGCGATTACACCTCAGAACTTCCCTTCCAGTTCTTTTCCAGGGAGCAAGCTACTTGGTTTAATTACTCTTAACTCACAACTTGGTAAAACTATTTAAAAATGAGCAGAGTTTATTACAGTTCAGATCATTACAGGAAAGAGAAATTGCTTGTAGTCGGCACAACTTTAGGCTCAAGTCCTCAGCATGCGATGGTATCCAGAAAATGAGCCCTGAACAAGGTCATCTCCTGCTTCTCACAACAAATAGTAAGAGAAGATTACAGGTTTCAGCTGATGAGTAAAAGAGGCAAACACAATATAACAATGATTGGAAACTCCTTGTAAGGCGCTAATCTGGTTTGCAGGTTCCCCAGGGATAAACAAAAGTTCGTCCAAAGAGGTTATAGAACTGATTGATGACCTTTAGTTTATATTTTCAGACAATTATTATAACTAGAATTATAAGTTGATTTATGGTTGTGATTTATGAGCATAGACTCCCAGGTGTGGTTTTCTACTAGTCATTTTGGATAAATTAAAGTTCCTCATCAAAATAAATAACCACAAATAAAAACTGTTCATTTATGATGTTGTTTTATCTCCAACTGTTGTAGTTATTAGCATTTGTAGTATTTAGCTACAGGTATAGAATAAATGTTGAAGAAATGTTTGTATTTACTTCGGGTTTTTCTTTTCCTCCTGTCCCTCTCCTGTTTTGCAGACTATAGAGCACTTTTGGCCCTTCAAAATTGGTAACCCTGGTAACCACCTTTGACCCCTCCAATCCCACTTCTTTCCCCCGACCCAGAGAAACATTTCTAGTTTTCTATTATTAACAATATTGATTTATTCTTGTTGTTAATCTTGGGAATTCTAACAGTGGACACGCACATTCCTATAAATGAACCCATTACTGTCCCAGTTTCCTAATTTCATCTTGATGAAATGAGTTTCTTTTTATCTACTTTTTTTTTAAAGCTGTCAAAGCTATTATAAAAGAAACAATGGTATATGTGTGCTATGTATGACTTCTAGTTGTAGTAATTGGATATACAACAATAAAACAATACAAATTCAGTTAGAAATGGTGTGTGTAGTGAGCTGTAACCGTGGCAAAGGGAAATAAAATAAAAAGCGAACTGTTTAGTGGAATATACTGGCTTTAATACCTCTATTTGGGTTGAATTAAGAAAGGATATTAAAGGTTTCCAATTTTCGCGAAACACTGACATATGGTTAGGCATTTGAGGGTTATGTTTTTTACATTTTTATGTAATCTGAGATTAAGTTTATCCAATCGTTGATGTAAAATGCGTTTTTTTATTTCCACTTATGGAGGAATACTTTCTTAGTGACAGCTAGAGAAATGATTACAAGGTTCCAGCATTTGGATGAGATGGTTAATGTGGAAATAGCAACTAGGATACATACATGGCACACAGTGATGATATGATATCTGTTCACTGTTGTTAACACTCATCTTTTTGTCTCCCCTTTCCTATATACCTGCCTTGTCCTTTTTTTTGGTACTTTTTAGTGTTTTATTAATACCCCCCCCCCCCCCCCCACACACACACACACACACACACACACACACACACACACAAACACCACACAATTTTGAAATAACTGTCCATACAGTATATGCACTTCTGGTAACATAGAATATTGGGCGGAAAAAAAAAAAAAAGGTGGGTAGCGGAGGCGGAAAAAAAAAAGAGAAACAACAGTTGTTGAACATGAACAGCGGTAGAATTTCTATACGTTTTTAATTCATACAACCAACCTTTCGAAAACAAAACTATATTTAACAACTAATATCTGAACTGCAGTTCTGAACTTTGTTTAATTTTAATTTCTCAGGTAGGCTGCACAAAAACGCAAGGTTGCTTTACTGCGCTGCAAATTGATTTTTTTTTACCCTTCTTTTCCTTATAAGTTGCGTTGTGTTTGGCTAGATGTGAGTCGATGTAGACATGCATGTGTTTTTCAGGGTTCTGACCTGAATAAAATGTGAAGGCGAGCCAGGTGGGAGCTGGTGTTGGAATAAGCAGGATTGATGTGCTCACAGCAGACAACCTCAGATCCATCATGGGCCTGTCTAAATTGAGCACACGGGTTTATTCATTGTGGAGTGTACCTGCAGTATTGTGCCCTTTTACAGGTCTGAGCTGCGCAGGAGGCCTCTGCACAGAGAGCGCTGTGGCAACGCTCGCTGTTGCTAAGCAGAGCTGTACAAAGGGGGCTAATTTGGGTAAAAGCTGGAACACTGGAGTGTTTTAAAAGACTTTGTTGAATGCTGTGAATCAGACAGACCAGCTGTGCGTCTAGACAGTGTTTCTTACAGTAGCAACATAACAGGGGAGATGTAGCCGATATATATATTTTTTTAACAATTCTTGTAAGTGCACTCCTTTTTCTGGCTTTGTTTCTGGGCTTTCAAGGCATCTGGTAGGAAAACACCACCAATGTTATGTGTATGCAGACAGATGGACAGGCAGACTGAGATGTTCTCTAAATAAAGCACGGAAAACAGAGAGAATGCCAAATGCAAACAGCGTTTTAAGAGAAAAGGCAAAAAGGGAGCTTTTTTTCCCCCTCTTCAAATATTTTTTTCTTAATAATTAATTTGTGTAAATGGAAGAAACAATTTCACTGTGGTTTCTTGGAAGCATTTGGTGAGCATTTTGACAAACTTTCTGTTGCACTTCCAAGTCTTGTCGTGTAGCCACAAAAATGTGATAACTGATGCTGGTTCAGGGCTTAAAATCTACTCCCATGCACCCATGTGGACACAGCAGCATCCGCCAAAGTAAAAATTTAGAAATGGCTTCATTAATTTATAGCTGTCTGAAAAGATAACTGTGGCATGTTTCACGTGGTAAAAGATTTGAGCTTGAGTTCAAGTTTGATCATACTTCTATTGCTGTAAAAGCAAACATATTTTCTACAAAAGGTTTTAGTCATTTAAATTTCTTTATATTTTACTCTGAAAAATGTATTTATTTTTTATTTTTTTGGTAATCTTTTAATGCGGCCATGTATCTATAGGTATTTCAGCTTTTTTAATTAAATTTATGCTCTAACATTTATCATAATAATAGTTGGCAAAAAAGAAGAATATAAAACCAACTACTATTTGGAGACATAGCAAGGTGTGTGCTCAGTTTTTTAAAACCTACAAGGAAAAGAAAAATATATATATATATATCTGGAACTTTGGGTTGAGAGGTTTTTCATGAAATAATGTCTAAGTTTCCATCTCAAGAAGTTAAATAGGTGGTGTCCCAGGAGCTCATTTACAGCCCATGATCTACAGTAAAAATGCATACAGTGGCGCCACCAAGGGGTGGCCACATCCA